CCCCCCCCCCCCCTCCCCTTAATAACTTTTCTAATGGTCGGCCCCAATTTAATATTTTTTCTATGGCACAATTCAAAACATTCAGCACAGCCTATGGTTTAAGAGTTTGTATAACACGTGATGATACAGTAAACTTTGATTGGTAATGGACTATATATTTTTAACTAAAATTTTTTAAAAATATAATAATAATAGTAAATAACATTAATTTTCGAGTTACGGACTGATACATTGGTGTATAATTAACATTTGGATATGCTCTGAACTGACCATTCTGTGATATTTTCAATAGGTCCAATTTGCGGTACACCACTTGATGACTGTCATAAAAATGCTGTCTGCACAGATGTCAGACCTGGAAAAATTGTGTGTTATTGTATTCCCGGGTATGCAGGAGATGGAAAGTTTTGTACAGGTCGGTTGTGGAGTGTTGTGCACAAGAATATATATTCTATAATCCCAATTTCCCTGCCCAAGTTTTGACAAAATCCCATTGTCCCAACTACAGTATGTCGTGTTTGTTGGTGAGTCCCAGTGCATGAAATCCCATTTTCCCAGCCCAAAAACAGGTGAATCCCAGCTCCCATTTTATCCCTTCAGGACCCTCTCTATATTAACAGTACATTTATAATTTTTGAAAGCAAAATAATAATCTCTTCAATATGTTGGCCCGTGGCTGTGGAATCGCTAGCGTGAACACCAACCTAAAATGAACATGTGACTCGTTCTTGATTTTTTCCCTCAGTTTAATTGACGTGTTTCATTGTTATAATTAATGATCTAACGACCAAACCTATTTAAATTGGTTGGTATAGCGTCCCAAGCGGTTCTTGCATATCTCGAGAAAGAATCGAATTAGACAAATAACCTATTTTAAATCCTGTCATTAGAAACACGAGTTGGTTTTACAAAACATGTGTACAATGTAAAAGAAGATGCTATGACCGCCGAAGTTCAGCTAATTGTTACGTCAGGAGCAATCACCTCACCTGTGACTGTTACGTAAGTTTCTAAAATGTCTCTAAGTCATGCACATTACAATTCGCTGTGTGGTGATGACCATATAGACTTAGGACCTCGATAAGGACCAGCTAGGCAAGTTGTTATATAATTTTAACTTCAATTTTAAAGAGCTTCTAAAATTAATGTCGTTGTTTTGTATGTAGGAGTTAAACACCATGTTAAACATCTATATACATTGACATTGTTTGTTTCGTCATCTAAGAATAACTATTGTGTTATTTCTCTTTCATTAGGGTTGAACCAGAGCGTGACTCTGCTGACTTGATAGATTTCAATAAAAAACCAGTCAAAGTAACGTTCCAACGTGGTGAAAGGGGTCCCAAAGTAGTTGTTTTTGACATTATTGATGATAAAGAGGATGAAGAAGACGAGAGGTTCAAAGTATCACTTTCTTCTGACGATTCAGTAGGTCTGGACGAACCTGCATTTGTGAATATCATTGATAACGATGGTATGTTTTGCCTACTTTGGTGTTGACAATAATATTTAATAAACGTAGATCCATTTACTGTATCTTATATATCCCACACCACGACCTTTCAAAATTTCAAAACATATTATATATGCAGAAAATAGCAGATGGTGAAAATGGCGTCTTGAAGTTGAAATCGATTTTCGTGCGATTTGAAGACAACGTTGTTATATATTAAAAACACTTCGAACAACAAGAGCATGCGATAAAGAAATGAATTTCCCTGTTCGTTTGCGGTCGTGCAAAGTCTTGTTGTTTATGCGCTACTATACTATACTATAATGCGATACAGACAAAAGCATGCACCAAACAAGATATCTTGAGTATAAGCTTAAAAAAAATCCTATGCTCCAAAATGGTCAATTGGAGGGCGAATATGACGTAGGCTAATCATTATAATGAATCACAAAATTCTATTAATGCTACATGCCACAACAAATACTCTAATCTTGTTCTAACCGTTTATTTGTATTTCTACGATTTGAAGACAACGTTGTTAAAAACGCCTCGAACAACAAGAACATGCAATAAAGAAATGAATCGTGTAATGTCTTGTTGTTCATGCGCTACTAGTAAAATGCGATACAACGATACAAGAACCGGAACCTGGAATTAGTATCGAACTTATGTTATCTGCATTGTGGATAATTGTATATTATCTGCGGTGTGGCTGTAACAGATCATGAGAGTTGTAGGCAGCCGATAACGACAACGGCAGAAAACGAAATTAGCTACTTACATTTTTATATGCGCCAACAGTTGAATTCACACGAAGGAAACACGCCGTGAAAATTATATAAATATTTCCCAAGCCCCCTAGATGAGCTTATATAGCTCTTGGGGCAAACGCATAAATATGTTTAAAATTAAAAAAATAAAATAAGCTCACTAATATGCTGTATCTATGTTGAGTACACAGATGCATGTTGAGTACGCTGCGTAATATTTAATTTGAGTCATAGTCGCAGTTAAACATATAAGTATAAGACAAGATGTTTGACAAGATGATGTAAATGAAATGAGCTAGATAATAATATAAGACTGAGATAACACCAGGCGGAAATTGAATTCCAGTTAAAAATATTATTGCCCAGCAAATAACTCGTAAAAGAGGCGTATTCAAAAAACATTTGGTATATAAAAAATATTTATTGAGTAACGTTTCGTCACATTACAAGCGACATCATCAGACTCTATTTAGTCTTAGTTAACTAGACTGAGATAATATAGATAACAAGATAATATACGTCCTATTTACAACAAGCCGGAGCGGCCGTATTGTATCAGATATACAAACCAACCTCGTACCCAGTGCGTCACGGCTGCCTAAGTCATGCGAGGTTGGTATCGCTGAACCCCCTTTTAGTAGTAGCTGTTGTTCATGCTATTCTTATTAATATTTCAGTTTGTGATGTATCCACTTTACATTTCTTTTTAGTCCCACCTCCTCCAATCATCAAATTCACTGAACTTATTTACAGAGCACCTGAAAGTGGTAATGCCGTTGTTGGAATTTTTGTTGCCAGTGGTAAAGTCACAGCACCTGTCACTGTAAGGTAAGTGAAAATAGTTTTGCATTTTTGACGGATCGATCTAATTATTGCCTTGATGGCTTGGTCACGTGAAATAGTGTAGATGAACTTGTAACGTGAAAAATATGCAAGGTTTACTCTCGATTTCAATTTGTTTTTGAAATCTGACTTTGAATGTTTATTTGTAACTTCGGAATGTTCGTTGCAAAGTTTTGAAATTCGTTTTGAATTGAAATCGAGAGTAACACCATACGAGGTATTAGATAGAATACCGTACAATACTAAAATCAGAAACTTTCATCAGTAATTACTACCATCTCATGGAGAAAGCAGAATCTGTTGGATAGGTAACAACTTCGCTCAACTAAATTTTAATCAAACGGCGCCTTTAAAAGATTGGACTATTCCATTTAATATCCGTACTCCCCCCACCTCCCGCCCGTCAAGGATACATGTTTTCCATAGTTATACCCTTGAAGAATTCCAAGCTCAAAACCTTTTATCCCTGGAGAATTCCAAACTCAAAACCCTTTTAGCCCTGATGAATTCCAAACCCTGAAAAATATCAATTTCAAAACCCTATACCCTTGAAGAATTCCAAACTCACAACCCTTTACCCTTGAAGAATTCCAAGCCCTGAAAATTTCAATCTCAAAACACTTACCCTTGAAGAAGAATTCCAAGCTCAAAACTCTCTACCCTTGATGAAGAATTCCACGCCCAAAACCCTTTTCCCATGACGATTTCCATGGAAGCTCAAAACCCTTTACCCCTGAAGAATTCGGGCCTGGATTCCAAGCTCTGCAGTATGAACAATTTCAATCTCAAACTTCTTTATCTCTAAAGAATTCTAAGCTAAAAAGCCTTTACCCTTGAAGAATTCCAAGCTCAAAACCCTTCACTCTTGAAGAATTCCAAGCTCAAAACCCTTTAACCCTGACGAATTCCAGGGATCATCGTCAGGGGGGTATGGATAATAAATGGATAGCCCATTTAATAAATTAGTCTTTCAAATGTTTTTCAGAGTAACCACAAATATAGATACGGCTGATAAGAACGACTTTGATAGTACTGTCGAAGATGTTACGTTTCAACGTGGTGAAACTGGACCAAAATTCGTTGAAATTCGCCTGATTGATGATTCTGTGGATGAATCAAGAGAGAATTTCACTGTTTTCCTCTCGTCAAATTCAAGTGCAATTCTGGGAAGACCTTCTTCTGTGAACATACAAGATGATGATGGTAATTATTTTCTTATGACATTAGTTTTGCAATTATATGTATTTAATATTTTGCGTTTTGTATCTTATGACATTATTTCTCACATGATTTAGATGGATGGTACTTATTTTTAACCATATAGTCGTAAGGGAGCTGAAAATTAGGGAGGCAGAAAGAAATTTTCCAGACTTTTTTGCATTTTGCCCAACTTTTGGTTTTGTAAAATTCTGCAGCCTCTCTTCCCCGGCCTCTGCTCCCCTCCACCCTCCCAAATAGTTTCACTTTAGTTATCTTTAAAAACGTTGCGTTAACACATCTTCTAAATTATACATAAATACACATGCATGCACTATTCAACTCGGCTTACCCAATGATATTTTTTTGATAGAACCGATTTGTAAGACCGATAAACACGATTGTCATGAGTTCGCTATCTGCAAGGATACTGGGCCTGGCCTTTATAAATGTACCTGCATGCAGGCTTATTCTGGTGACGGGAAGACATGCAAAGGTAATGTGTTGAAGATTACTGTAAATGCCTAGTTTAGGAAAATAGTGGTCGGTATAAAGATACACTGCACTTGCCTGTTCACTGTTAAGGTTAGAGCTTTTGCTGTTAGTTCGGCTGCTTCTATAATCATGATACTGAACCTCTTTTAACGCTGCTTTTAATACTCGGCTGGCTCACTCAAGACATTGTTTATTTAGGATTGTTTATTACGTTGATTTGTAAATTAGTAATGGAGTCATGTGCGCGTACTAAATTGATATTGTGTAATTATTTTAACATAATTAAGAACTGAATTTAATAATTAAATATAAGCTTTTTCGGGGTTTGCGACGCCATCTTTCCCACAATAGAGCAACAATACCATGATCCTAGGGACACGTATTCCCATTGGGATGAAGCAATGGAGGTTTTATCATTGTACTCCACTTGACGAACCCCGACAAGGCGTATTATAAAGAATATTGCGTTAATATCATCTTCCATGCATGCATGCAGTCAGTAAAATGTTATGTTGCCAAAGCAATATTTTTTTCCTTTTTCCTTAGTGATAGCGTTCAGTTTCACGAGCTCGGTGTACAATTTTAAAGAGAATGAGAAGGCTGTTGTTGAGATCCAACTAGAAAGAGGTGTAATAAGTGAACCTGTGACCATCGAGTAAGTTACAGTATATGATGTACAACTTACTTTATACATAACAACTTACTTACATAATCTTTACACACATAATTTTTTGTTGCACTTGCATGGTATCCAATTCATGAGAATGGATCCTTTTTGCCTATTTCAGACCCAATAGAGCTTGAAACTTTAAATGTAAAAACTTATAAAAAACAACCTCGCAACTGAGCCAGGCTCGCTACTTCCGTTCCCTCCCAAACACTAGCGTGTTTGGGCTTGCGAAGTTGTTTTAACAACTAATAATACTAATATACGTTACATTTTTGGGAGGGACAAAAATAGTGAATTATGAATATAAAACAAATTATAAGAAAGCTTCGGAAAAAAGAAGAAAAATTGCACTCCTTTCACTGCATGCAAGTGAGTGTTCAACGTATAATTATAGTCCTTTGATGAAGGATATGTTTCGATCGAGAAAGGGTGAGTTTCGAGGGTTGTGAATTGGTTGTTGGTATATATAATGAAAAATCTTGGGAAGAATAAGCATTTACTTGCCGTCTGATGCAAGGTTAAGTGAACTTAACACAACTGTTTACAAACTGGTCTATATTTTAGAGTGAGAACGATCAAGAAATCAGCTGATGATAAAGATTTTATTGCAATAACCAAAAACGTGACATTCCAAGCTGGTGAATTTGAAAATAAGATGGTAGAAATTGACTTGATTGATGATGATGTGATTGAACCGACAGAAGAATTTACTGTCAGACTTTCTTCCTCAATACGCGTTGCCGTTGGTTCACCGGCCACAGTTAGGATAGAAGATAATGATAGTAAGGACGGTAAGTGTGGTTTATCATATTGTCATTATTTTTTTAATGCACATAATAGTTACGTAAACATGTAAATTTTATTTATGTATTCTTTGTGAAACTACAAATGCATTTCATTCTACATTTGGTTAATAATAAGCTGAAAAGATTCTTTTGAACCAGAATTCATCGTTCAATTAATGTAAAGAAAAACTAATGATGCGCCGTTGATTGCGTATAATTCCTGAAATTTATATTTGTTATATAGCTGAACTTTGTGGTATGGATATTGGTTTCATGCTTGATTCTACTGCAAGTATGCGAGACTGTAACTTTAAGAAAGAAAAAGATTTTGTAAAAGAACTCGCTGGATATTTCCAGGTTGGCCCAGGAGCAACTCATACTAGTACAATTGTTTATGGTACCGAAGGTGTGCTTGCAAAAAGATTCAACGAAACTGAATCATTGAAAGATTTCAAGACAGAGATTGATAATCTTCCATTCCAGGGAGGAAGAGCAAATTTAGATAAGGCAATGCATTTAGCAGCATCCGCCATGTTTACTGTAAAAAATGGCATGCGTCCAAATGTCCCAAAAGTTCTTGTGGTTTTTAATGATGGTGCTCAAAAGGTTATAACACAATCCGCAAAAGAGATTTCTGCTCTGTTACGTAAGCATGAAGTACGGGTTATAGTCATCGGGATTGGGGAGGCAGATCAAGATCTCTTAGCTCAAATTGTTGCGTCGCCTGAAGATTTAATTATGGTGGATAGATTTGAGGATGCAACGCCAAACCTGGTTGCTTTATTGAACCGTTTTTGTTTAAAAGGGGGTACGTTTGAATTTATTTTATCATGCATTTATATATAGATACCAAAACCTATTTCCTAAAGAATTATTTTCTCTTTCTCGTTTCACCTGGTATATATTTGGAAGTTTTATCACATAAGAATTAATGCACACAAACACAGACTGAACAATCCAAACAAACGAAAAAAGGGATTGTATACACTTCATCGGAAATGACACCTAGAATTCTTCAACCAGGTTCGACCTTTCAACATTGACGTGGCATGACAAACCAACGCGTGCAAACTTTAGATAAGACAAAAAAATTATATATGTGACAAATATAACGCCATTTGCATGTTTCCTTGTAAGAACACTTCCCCGATAAGTATACGTTGGGCAAACATCCAGAAAGATTCTGACGACACTAACAGAACACCCAAACGCAATAAGGGACCGCTCATTATTTATTGCACAGGGGGGGAGGGGGGAGGAGGAGGGGGACTGAGTAGAAACTCTGCAGTTATAATATTTTTTCGTTGCCCCCCCCTCTTAAGTCAAGTAGTATTTTCAAAGCCCCCTCCAACAGGCAAAACAAGAACAGAAATTTTGGAACCCCCCTGACTCTAGCTCTTTATTTAGAGAAACAAAAATTGATAATGGAGACCAATTTACATGTACATAGGAGACATAAGAGACTATTTATTCGGCTTCCATTTGAGAATATTAATATTAAAGGTCTATAAACATTGTTATTTGTTGTTAAGTTGTTTTGTAACACATTTTTAAAACTACAAATGTTTTTCAAACCATTAAATCTTTTCAAGACCCCCCTTCTTATGTCTTTCTGTATTTTTTCAAAGCCCCCCTTTCACGTTTTAAAAATTTAAAGGCCCCCCCCCTAGTTTCTCCTCAATCCCCCTCTGTACAATAAATAATGAGCGGTCCCTAACCAGACACGATCATGCATATACGTAAATTCGATAACTGATTCAGGATCTTGCCTCAAAGATCTACAGTCCGTTGCGTTTCATTTGTAAATGAAACAAAAACCATTTAATATCACATTTACTCATAATACTAGGAATTCGAATGCAAAACCGTAGCATATGACCCATCCGCATGTGTAAAAACCAAATTTATGAAATACAATTTCGCCTTTGACTTTAGACCAAAGTAGCTGCCGAATCTTGAAGAAGAAGGCTGATTTAAACATTGGTGGATGCGTTAGTGAAAAACCAGTAGAAATTGGTAGGAATGAATATTTTTAACAAATAGTATACATTTCTATCGTACGAACATGGTAACATGGTAATATATACTGCCGATTCGATGTGTAGGCATTTTCTCTATCTTATGAGTTTCAGGAAGAACCTGTGAATAAGAAATAATGACAATATTTATACGCAATATTTAGCATTTTTACGTTTTATAAACTTAATCTAATATTTTATCAAATTTATATAGGAGTCTGTGGTGGACATTGCTCTTCATTTTCGAACTTTGTAGAAAGGAACGGATTCTATGAAATGAGTTGTGGTTGCTGCAAAACGAAAACAAAAGTCACCATTACTGTTGATTTGAAGTGCAGCATGAATACCTACCAAGCTTTTAACATCAAGTCAGCGGAATCCTGTTCTTGTGAATCTTGCGAAATGGCCCGCACAATTGACGTTCAATAATAGTAACCAGAGATAATTTCGTAATTATCATTATTCGTAGTATTGTAGTGTTATAACATATTGTGAGGATAGACCACACTAAATATATATATATATATACAGCATATATACAGACATTTTATATAATATACAAACAATTAAAAGCAGTAAAAGTTGTAAAGTAATAAAAGCAGACGGGAGAATTGAGAACTTTTGCGATGGAAATTTTCAAAGGAACTGAATTAAACTGGCTTCTCAATTTCTATTTGGTTTCTATCAAATTCGACTGTATGTCATGTAATAGACGTAAGTACCATAGGATGAGAATGGGTACGTACCATGCGTGGATACCATGCATGCTGAGGATGTCGGTGAAATATTTACGGCCATGCACCTGCTTCACAAAGGATAGTTAACAGTGGTAACGTTCCCATTAAGACAAATGCTCGATATATAGGTTAAGGCTTAAGAGCCTGCTCCAGGCTGAGACGAGCCGGCTCCAAGTTGAGAATGAGCCTGCTTAATAATGAATTAAGAGCCGAGCATATTCGAGCGAGTTGCAAGCGCCCTTGTTAATTCGATAAGTCAAGAGCGAGGACAAGGCTCATGCCGATTCGAGTCGGGACCGGCTAAACGGAGAGTTATGAAGTGGAGAGTTATGATTTCGGAGAGTTATGTTCAAACCACACCCACTTTTCGCAACGACCACACCCAAGTTCTTAACTCTCCCAATGTTTCCTTTAACTAACATGAAATGGGTATGACTAAAGGGAGAGTTACCAACCGGAGAGTTATCTCGGAGAGTTATGATTTCGGAGAGATATGTTCGAACCACGCCCAAACCACGCCCACTTTCCCCAATGACCACACCCAATTTCGTAACTCTCCCGACGTTTCCTTGAAGTAACATGAGAGAGTTATGTTTGACGTAACTCTCTCTCGTTAACATTATGAAGATGTTAGAGAGTTATCATTTTTTATAACTCTCCGCGTTCACGATTGTGGCAATGAAGAGAGTTATGTCAGTTTTTTGAGAAAACCTTTAAATAGTAAAGCTTGTTTCTTCAGATTTTCATCTTATATTTTGGTATTTTAGTTTGTAGCGTGTCAATAGCGTGCGTCCAAACAGGAAATAGTACAACTTGACTCGGTCAAAACAATGAGATGCTTGCCGCAAAAGGGTCAAAGTACCCCCAGAAGCATGATTTGACGTGTATTTGGCAGTAAATACGGTAAGCATAGTTGCAAGAAAATTGAATCTTTCAGAAATTCAGGTTTTGCAAATATTTTCCCATATCAGCCAATATAGGGCATTACATTGGAAAGGTTTTCTGGTTGTATCTAATACGAGAGCTGTATCTGAATGTTGGGCTTTGTAGGTAATCCAAGTGGGCATGTATAATAATTTATTTACTCGTACTCGCTTCACTTGGTAAGTACTAAAGTACTACTAGTTTCTACTAGCGTGGAATATTAAAGCTGATACTTGAGAAAAAAGTAAATTCACAACTTCCACAAGTTTTTTTCAAAAAACTGACATAACTCTCTTCATTGCCACAATCGTGAACGCAGTGAGTTATAAAAAATGATAACTCTCTAACATCTTCATAATGTTAACGAGAGAGAGTTACGTCAAACATAACTCTCTCATGTTAGTTCAAGGAAACATCGGGAGAGTTAAGAAATTGGGTGTGGTTATTGGGGAAAGTGGGCGTGGTTCGAACATAACTCTCCGAAATCATAACTCTCCGAGATAACTCTCCACTTCATAACTCTCCGTTTAGCCGGTCCC